GCCCCCTCCGCCCCCTCCCGCGGCGCCATGCGCAGACTCAGTTCCTGGAGAAAGATGGCGACAGCCGAGAAGCAGAAACACGACGGGCGGGTGAAGATCGGCCACTACATCCTGGGGGACACGCTAGGAGTCGGCACCTTCGGCAAAGTGAAGGGTAAGGACCCTCGGGGCGAGCCGCGGCCCAAGCCCAGGCCGCAGGCCACTTCCGCTTTTCGCACCTCTTCATCCTCCCCCGCCCCCTGCGTTCCTCGTCTCTCGGGCTCCGCAGCCCCGGTCCTTCCTCCAGCGGGAGCGGAGCCCAAGGCCGCCGCGGGGCTGCGGCGCGGCCCACCCGGGCCGGGTGGGGGTGGGGTGGGTACCGGTCGCCATGGCTACGGCGCCGCGGCCAGGGGCTGGTCCATGCGAGGGGCGGGGATGCGGAGATGCGAACTTTCTCAGGTGCGCGGTCGGGGGCTGCGCGGCGCGTTCCCAGTCCTGGGTGGGGGCGCCGGGGTCCCCTCCCGGAGTCCCGGGAAACAGCGGCTGTGCTCCCTCGGCTCGGGACCAGCCCATCGGTTCCCTGGCAGTCCTCAGTATTGTCCATATTTCTGTCCTCTTCAGGAGACTGTCTACTCACCTGTTCAGGCTGATTCTCATCTGTTACCCCCAAAGTCAGGTTGCTTTGGGGGTAGCTTGCAGAATTAAAAAAAAAAGGCCATCTCGTTGGAAAAGATAACTAATTTCTTTCGGATAGTTAATGAATATAAACTGGTCCTATATTTGTGATGCATGGTTTATGTTCAGAATGCAGACTCCGTGCTTTCAGTGTGTCTGAATTACCAGTTTTGCAGTCTCTGTATGCCAAACCCGGTAGTTAGTGCAGATGTTGCCTCCAGATAGTATTTATTAGTTCATTAATGCAGTTCCTTTCCATGTATTCTCACAGGATATTTATATTTTAAGAAACAATTTAGTGCACATCATTTGATTTTTTTCTTTAAGAAAAGTGTGGATTCTCTTACCTTTGTGTTTCAACACGGTATTCTGGACATAGCAAACTTGCACTCCAGTCCACTAATTCTGGCACAAGAAGTTTAATTGCAAACTTTGTGAGGCATAATTTTTAAAAAAAAATATTTGACTTTATTAGGGATGATGCAAAGGAAGGAAATATGGAGCTGATAAGAATTCATGCCAAGGCTTTGAATAGATAATAGCCTATGACTTGCATATACTAAGCTCTTGGTAAATTCTTGACTTAAAAGAAAAAAAAAAAGTGAAAGTCTGTACAGTGAATTAACTTAGTCTTGCTGTACCAGAGCTAAATAAACATTTTTTTTAATGTAATATGGATCCTCAGGAGGCCCATTTCTGACCAGAATTCCTCTTTACGATGACTTTTTCTCCAAGACCCCCTGATGGCTTTGGGTTTTTTTTTTTTAGATTTTTATTGGGGAATTGGGGGGATGGGAACAGTGCTGGGGAATTGGGGGAAGGGGAACAGACAAGTTGCTGTCCTTTTGTTCTTCAGTCTAGTTGTGGAGGACGTTGCTTCACTGGCCCAAGTTGGCACCATCATTGCGCTCTTCCTGGGTGAGGCAGATCAGTCGCTGGCTTCTGGACGGCTGCTCACTGCAGCTGCTGGCCGCTCACGCTGGCTGCTGGCTACACACGGTAGCCCATGGCAACCCACTGCCACAGGGGCTGCAGCCTACGCCTTCGCCAGCGACCCACGGCAGCCCAGCTCCAGGTTGAGCTGTTGTTCAGCATCTTAGCTGTGGAGGGCAGTGTCACTGGCCCTCATGTGTGGGATCTGAACCGGGCCCCTCTGGCGTCCCAAGCCAGTTCTTAACCATCGCGCTACTCGGCCGGCCCTAAATAAACATTTTCTGATTTTATCTAGGGATGGAAGGGGAGAACCCTTCCTTTTCTTGTCCTTTCTGAGTCAGAGAGCTGGAAAAGTGCTGTATAGCCCACAGGGAAACAGCTGCCTAAACCTTCTTATGAAAATCAGCAAGGCCTACAGTGTAAGAAAGTAAGAAGCAAATGCCAGAATAGGGTAATAACAGCCATTAGGGTGGGTCTGTATCAGGTCAGTAAGACATTTCTGTGCTCTTGAAGTTATTTATTTTTGGCTATGCTGTCTCTACTTGCTAGCATTTACAAACTGCTTTTAATTCACAAGTATTTGTGAGAAATGCTCATTAATGCCTCCCAAATAGTGATGACAATCTTGATGCTCTCACCCCTCCCAGAGTTCTGCTTGGATTAGGATGCTCATCATTCTCCTAATATAGATCTGAGCAGAGTCAGGTCTCATTTTCTTATTTACTAGGTGGCTTTTGGCATGGCAGATAGGAAAGCAAGAGGACATCTTTTGTTTTCTGGATTTGATCTGTGGTGTGGCTGTGACATGAATTCCTCCAGTGACAGCTGTTCCTTAACCTTCACTCCACATGTGCCTCTCTTGAAGTGTACCACACACTGTCAAAGTCAGCAACTTCTCCAAATATAGAAAGGCCAATAGTAGTCATAGGTTTCATAGGTGTGGTTCAATTTGTTCATAAACACATTAGTCGATGTTGGTGAAAATTTTCAACCAGTGCATTTTTTAAGTTGTTAAATAGGTGGGACACTTTTTGTCCCAAGTAATAGAAAATCCAACTCAACCTAGCCAAGAACGTCTCTTCCTGTGGTTCTCTCTCCAGAGCAAGAAAGTCTCAATGAATCTCTCGTGAGTCTTGTTGGTTTATCCAGTCCCTCTGGCCAGGGATGCCTTGTGTCAATCAATGGCTTAGGCTTGTGTTCCTAAATAGGCACTAGCAAGGGAGATGGAATTACCTTAGAGGAACATGGCCCACTCTTGGATATGTGTGTGTGTTGCGGGGAGAGCATTTAAAAAAAAATTTAATTTTCAATTACAGTTGACATTCAGTATTATTAAGGGCATCTTCTTCTGAAGTACTTTGATAGTGTGAGGGGACAGGAACTCCCTTGCTGGTCCATTCCCCTTTCCTCCCAGGTAGAACAGTTATAAAAGCATGAATGAACTAAGTCATGTGACTACTGCAGTAAATTAAAAGGCAGTTTTTGTTAGTTTTCCAAGAGAAGGGAAGGCTGTCTTTTTAATGGGGTGGGTGGTCTTTGGCAAAGAAGTTGTTTATACATAGAACCTATTTATTAAGTTGGTGAGTATTTCTACATAAAACTGAAATTTCAAGTAAATAGGTGATGTTCTATTTATGAATGAATCACATTGGAAGTTATTTACACATTTCTTTTTTTTTTTTAGCTGAACCATCCTGCCACCTTTTGGCAGCTCAGCGGCGGCTCAGCTCGGGCTGGGCATCGAACTGCTGTTGCTCAGAGCTCAAACTCTTGAGTGAGCTCTTAACCAACTGAGCCACTCGGCTGGCCCTACACATTTCTTTAAGTAAAAAAATCTATATATGAACTAGAGCTATATATATATCAGCATGAGTGGATCTCAAGTATATAAGGTTAGACCACAAAAGCAGAAGTACAAGAATATGTACAGTCATGTTATTTATATAAATTTTAAAAACATGCAAAAACACTCATACATATGCTATAGAGTGTGACAGTCTTTATTAAAATTAACCCAGTAATTCAACTTCTAGGAATTTATCCAATAGATATACTCATGAATGTGAAATAATAATGAGTTATTCATTGCTATATTGTTTGTAAATGCAAAAGATTGGAAGTAACCTTTCTAATAGGAGAGTAGTTAAATTATGGTTTATCAATACCATGATATACCTTGCAAACGTTAAGAAAAAAAAAAACTAAGATACTTTATATATTTAGAGAGTGGTTTCCAAGGTGTATTTTTTTTTTCTTTTTCAAGGTGTATTTTTAAGAGGAAAATAAGGGGGTAGTAGAACATTGTGGGTAATATACCTACTATATGTATAAAAAGCAGGGCAAATAACGTATCTAAGTGTAATTGCTTGCAACTGTATAGCGTGTCTTTTTAAAAAAATTAGTTTCAGGTGTACAAAACAATGTAATAGTTATACATATCACACCTCACAAAGTGATAACCCTCCTCCCCCAATCTATTGCCCCTCTGACATTATATATATCTATTACAATTCCATTAACTCTATTCCCTAGAAGAGTGTCTCTTTAAAGATACACATGAAACTGTTACAGTAGTTGTTCAGGAGAGAACTAGGTAGCAGGGGAATATTCCACTGTATATCCTTTTGTACTTTTGAATTGTGTAGTGCAGGTATTATGTGATCAAAAAAATATACAGAATTAAGTTAGAAAGATAAATACGTGAAAAACAATGTTACCATATTACCTGTGGATTCATTTGTGGGAAAGACAAACACCACATTCAAGATAGTGGTTACATCTGGGAAGAGAGGAAGGAGAAAGATCTGGGAAGAGTCATACGGGGCTTCTGTTATATTGTTTTATTGCTTAAGCTAGTGGTGGGTGAGACATGGGTATTTGGTATAGTTTTTGGGATGCCTGAAATGTTTTGTTAAGAAAAGGTAGCATTCTCAAATTTCCACCTATAGCTTTTAAAGTTTAACCCTGCTCCAGGATTGTTTTTTCCGTAATACTTTTATAAGTGAGATTTTTTTTATTCTTTTAGAGTGGGAATGAAATCATTAGGTGATTTGAATATCTTCAGTAGATATTTTTATCTTTGTGGCATCTCTTTCCAATTTAAATAATCCTCTCCTTCAAAGTATGATCTTGTTTTACTTCAGGATTACATATCTGATTAGAAGAGCATTTTGTTACAATGTTTTACAGTTTGAAAAAATTCCCTATAGAGAGCAAGAACAGGTTGTTAGCTAGTATTTAGTTGACTAATCTGCTGTTCTTGTGAGGGAGACTTGAATTCTGGTAACTTTTGCTGTGAATGATATATACTGGTCTTCCATGGCAGAAACACATGTCTTGTATTTCGTTCAAAAGCAACACCTTAGCACTACTGTAGAACAGTGACAGTCTGCAGAATACAATTTTGAGTTTTGGGAAAGGGGGAATTCTCTTAGTAATGCATATTCCTGACAAGGTCTGTTTACGACATCGATTGACTGGGGAACAGCAATTAATTTAGCTGCAGCTGAATTTAACCAATGGAGAACATTTAGCCTAGTTTTAAGAAAACAGTTCAGGTTTTGATATTGTGCCAAGCCTTTTTTCCCCTCCCATACACAGTGATGCTGGGGAATAGTGGTCAAAAGACTCCGAGTCAGAAAACCTGTCCCATTTTAATCACTTTAATAGTTTTACCTTGACAATTGCCTAATCTCTCTGTCTCATACTACCTGCATCATAGGTTTATAGTGAGGTTCAAATGTGATAACGTGTGTTTGCTGAGCTATAAAACACTGTATTTTCAAAAGTATTATGCTACTGAAATTCTAATATCGAAGTATTTTGGTAATTGGGTTCAAGGCAAATATTTCTGTTCCTAAAAGTAAGGAAAACATAACAGATTATTATCATATGATGGCCTTAAATTACCAAGATTGCTGGGAAGAAACGGAGAAAAAGAATAGTTGGGGCCAGCAGAGTGGCTCAGTCAGTTAAGAGCGTGAGCTCTGCGCAATAGGGTCTCCGGTTCAATTCCCACATGGACCACTGAGCTGCGCCCGAGTTGAGCTGCCTCTGAGCTGGTGAGAGCGCAGTGCTCTTAGCAGCAATGTTGCCGGTTTGACATCCATATGAGATGGTGGGCTGTGCCCCTCTGCCCCCCCCCCACCCCCGCAACTAAGTTTGAACATGGCACCTTGAGCTGAGCAGTTGCAAGCTGCTGACGGGCGGCCGCATGGCTCAGTGTGCAACAAGGTTGCCGGGTCGACTCCCGCATGGGATGGTGGACTACACGCGCCCCCCCCACCCCCCCACCTCCGCAGCTGGATTGAAAGTGGCAACTGGACTTGGAGCTGAGCTTGCGCCCTCCACAACTAAGATTGAAGGACAACAACTTAGAGCTGATGGGTCCTGGAAAAACACAATGTTCCCTTTCCCCAATTCCCCAGTAAAAATTAAAAAAAAAAAAAAAGAACAGTCAGAGGGGATATGGCCTTTACTGAAAGAAAATATTTTAGTCATCAGTGTTGGGACACTGTAAGGAAAAACCTGTATCCAGTCAAGCCTGGGAAATACCAGGTTAACCCTCCGTTGGGCGCCACTGATCTCACAGATTCATTACACACAAAGATGCCGCTATGAAATACGTCTTTACTAAGTCACAAACATGACTGGCGATAGGTTACGGTAGAGGGGGATGATATGGAAGCGATGAGTCACGATACTTAACTGTTAGATATTTGAAAATTTGTGTGCGATGAATCTGTGAGATCAATTGCACCCGACGGAGGGTTAAACAAATTTTAACAGATTTCTCTACTACAGGGCTTTTCAGAGCCTTTACTGTGTTAATTTAATATTCATAGCGAGAGTTTCCAAAAGGGAGAGCATATGTCCTTTCTCAGACTTTCTTGATTATGAAATATTTTTCTGTGGAGTCTCCAGTGCTAGTGTTTTGTAGAGCATACTTTAGAAAATCGATTATAATTTTAGTTTTATATTTATATCTAGTTTAGTTTTTAGAACACAGAAGAGGGGGCTGTAAGAGTTGACTCCTGATAGTCTGTGAACTACTGCAAAAGGCAGAAAACCACATGCTGGAACATAATAGCCTGGGAGCAAGAAGTCCTCTCCAGCTGAGTAAGTCCTACGGATGTCACCGTGTGAGGGCCCAGGGGAGTGACTGATGCTCAGATATGGTGAACAGCTGCTTTGTTCCATCATCACGTACAGTGTATTCCATTTAAGAATACTTAGGCATGTGTAGTACAGTATAGAAAACCAGTTTTCAAAAATACTGCTTTTGTTAACTTGTTAATGGTGAATATATTTTAGAAAATTCACTTATAAACTGATAAACTTACTGTATTCATTTCTTAGGGCCATAGTAACACAGTGCCACAAACTGGGTGCCTTAAAACAACACATTTATTCTCTCACAGTTTTGGAGGCTAGAAGTCCCAAATCAAGGCTAACGGGGTCACAGTCCTTTGGAAGGTTCTGGGGAGAATCCGTTCCTGGCCTCTTTCTTCCAGCTTCTGGTGGCTGCTGGCATTCCTTGGCTCGTGATAGCAAAACTCCACTCTTCCTTCATCTTCACATGGCCACCCTGTGTGTGTGTGTGTGTGTGTTCTGTCCGCTTCTTATAAGGACACCAGTCATTAGCTATAGTGCTCACCCTAATCTAGAATGATTTCATCTTGACATCCTTAACTAATTACTAAGATTGAGTTCTGAGGTTCCAGGTAGACGTGAATTTGGGGGGAAGGGGCACTGTTCAACTCACCACATTTGCCATTATTATTTTATATGCTTATAGTTTTATGTTCTTCATTTCTCCTTAATAACACCTTAAGTTTTGAGTAACTTTTAAATTGGTTTGATAGAACGAATACGATGTCTTCTTGGTATCTTGTCTTAAAATACTGAAATTGACATAAGGCTGGTTTTTTAGTAGACTGGATTCATTTTCTCATATAGGAAAAAGGTCATAGTAGCGGTAACTGGCATATAATAGCTGCAGGTACTCAATAACAATGTCTTAAATGAATGAAAGATTTTTTTAGAATAATTCCTATTCTTATAGGGGAATTCAGTCTATTCTTTTAGAAACTACAAGACTATAACTTAAGGATTCCTCTAATATGTTAACTTCTATTTGTTTTATTAAAAATATATTTATATTTGTATTATTATACTGTGTAATGTCCTTTTGAGGATTATCTTTTTAAAAAAGTGATCACATTTCACTTACTATTTTTGGAAAAACCACAAGTTTTTGAGACAGACCTAGATTCAAATTTTGGCTTTGCTGTGTGACTTTGGGCAATTATTTCATCTTCCCGTGCTTCATTACCTATACAGTGTTACTAGTTATACCAATCTCCCAGGGTTAGGGAGAGTTACTCATACATCTGGGTACGAAGTGGGTATGTTACGAATATTAACTGGTAAATTGTATACCTAAATTACATTATATATTATAGATCACGTAGATTTATACATTTAAAATTTATACTCAAGTCAAGTGAACCTGTTTTTTGTCTCTGTGCTCTTTTATGACTGAACAAGTATTCGGATAGTTTTTAGGTAATGGGTGAAATCCCTGCCAAGGACTTGGTGCTCTGTGTATCTGTGTCTAACAGTAATCTGCTGAAAATTAACCAAGTCAGGAGATGTGTTGAACTTTGGAAGCCACGATCCTCAGGATTGGTGATGATTGGAAAGGTGAGGATCGAACAGGTTGGTGGGTTTGAAGTTTATGGGAATGGGAGCTAGGGGCATAGAAATTACAGCTGTTATTTATTTAGCTCTTATCATGTGCCCGGATAAAGGCATGCTACTGAATCTAAGTGGATACGGGGGACAAATCAAAGAGCTGAGATAAAACTGGCTATCCCAGAAAATTTAGGGCTGATTAGATAGGGAAGGGAGAAATGGAAAATAAATGATCCTAAATATTGGGTTGTCAGAAAAGTCATGATACATTTTTGCAACAAAAAACATAGAAAAAATACATCATGACTTTTCCAACAACCCAATAGTAATAGCCACCATTTATTTATCAGGCATTTATTATATGGCAGGCACTATGGAAAGTGCTTTACAAACCCTTATTTACGAGTATGTATTGCTTAGATTCACCCTTATGGAGTATGTGGTATTCCTACTTTTAAAGATGAGTGAATAGAAGATTGACATAATTTACCTTGCCCAAGTCAAACGTAGTAAATACCTTCATATAGGAACAAAATGCAGGTCTGTGTGACTGCAAAGTCTATGCTTTGTAAGTGGAATGGGGTGCTCAACCCTACCCTTGTAAAATGTGAATCTGCTAACATTTGCCATTGTCTTTATTGTTCCCTTCCCAGCCCAGGAGGGGAAAAAAAAATGTAGTTGCCGGCCTGGGAACTACATATTTTAAAAAAAGGAAATAACCACCCTTAGTGTTATTCTAGGACATTGACCATCCTTTTATTGCCTTAAAATGTTCTCTTGGCTCACCTAGCCATGAAAAAGGACTTAGTATACTAATTTCTCATTAAAAAAACAAACTAGGGCTGGCTGAGTGGCACATTGGTTAGGAGTTGGCTTGGGACACCAGCTCTGAGTAGCAGGGCCCCGGTTCGGATCCCACATGAGGGCCAGTGACGCTGCGCCCTCTACAGCTAAGATGGTGAACAACAGCTTGGCCTGGAGCTGGGCTGCTTTGAGTCGCTGGCGATGGCGTAGGCTGCAGTGGGGCTGGCTGGCAGCAGGCGTGAGCTTTTGTGAGCTGCATGAGCCGCCTTGAGCAACCATCCAATGGCCAGCGAGCCACTGCCTTACCTGAAGAGTGCAATGATGGTGCCAACATGAGCCAGTGCAGCGACATGCTCCACAACTAGACTGAAGAACAAGACAGCAACTTGTCTGTTCCCCAATTCCCCAATGCTGTTCCCCTTCCCCAATTCTCCAATAAAATCTGAAAAAAAACAACAATAAACTAATCATTACCCTGCCTGTTTATTTAGTTCTTAGTGTCTTCGTATATGCATTTGAACGATCTCTTTACAGTTGCTGGCTAGGCACCTGCCCCCTCTGTGCCACTGTTTCAATTTTTGACTATTTATATAATCATACTTTTGTGATTTCATCTATTGTTTCAAAAGTGAAGAAGTTATTTCTTTATACTTCTAATTAATTTATGATTTGAAGAAATGCTCAAGTATTAAAAAAGTCTTGATTGGTTATTGATTTCATTCTGTTTCTCCTTTTTTGGGAGTTGGAGGAACTTCTAAGGTGGAATAATATTCTATCCCCTATTACTCATAAGTTGAATTTTACTTGATTCTCTATTCCCTTCCCTTCTATTGTTGCTACTTTCTTCCTCATTTTCTGGTATGTGTTCCATAAAATTTTGTCACATTTCTGTTGCAACTTAACTGCTTTCTAAATGATTTTAATTTTTCTGTTGCAAAATAGGTCTTGTGCTGCTCTTACTTCGTAACTTCTGTATTCTCTCATCACCCTGAAATAGTTAATTTTTCTTAAAACATTCATTTGTTGGGTGAGCTTAATGCGTATTCTCCACCCCCCTCCTCCCCCAGTTTTATTCTTTTGTACTGTAAAATCTGTTGGTTTTCCTTATGTTACAGTTATTGGTTATCTTCAGAGCCCAGGAAGGTCTGAGGAAACCAGGTTGCTTTTGGTCTGTACAGTTTTCGCGGGCAGCATGAGCTGGCATACAGTAGATGCTCGTATGATGCCAAATGAATGAATTTGAGAGAATGTTTTGAATCTCCTATTCCTGTACCTTATTTAATGACAGAATATACATCTAGAGTTTTGGATAAGCCCCAGTTGTTTCTTAAAGTTAATTGGGGTTGAGATTAAGATGAGCAGGGTATGAAATGAGAGGAGACTGGTTGATTTGTGGTGAATTGGAGTTCAGGCCTAAATGTATTCTGCTTTAATATTCTTTCCAAGTCTCAGTTGGCCAGTATTACCCAGTATTGTGCCTATTTCCCAGTCCTGTTTCACCTGTGCAGTTAATGAGACAAGGTTCCTAGTAAGCCAGGGCTTGGAGATGTTAGGGGTAGTTTGGACAGGTGAGATTAGTATTTCTTCAGGGATCAATAAACTAGGTCTCAGGAAGAAGATACTTCCTGAGTTGGGTTTGAACAGTCACGTTGACTGCTTTTTTTTTTTTTTTTAAAGATTTTATTGGGGAATTGGGGGAGGGGAACAGAGAACTTGCTGTCCGTTTGTTCTTCAGTCTAATTGTGGAGGACGTCGCTTCACTGGCCTATGTTGGTATTGTGATCATTGCACTCTTCCCGGGTGAGGCAGATAGGTTGCCGGCCGTTGGACGGCTGCTCACGGAGGCTCTTGGGAGCTCCCACCAGCCACTCACGGTAGCTTACAGCAGCCCACTGCAGCCTACGCCGTCGCTGGCAACTCATGGCAGTCCAGCCCCAGGTTGAGCTGTTTTTCACTATCTTAGCTGTAGAGGGCGCAGCGTCACTGGCCCATGTGGGATCCGAACTAGTGGCCCTGCTGCTCAGAGCTCGCGCTCCCAAGCCAACTCTTAACCAACGAGCCACTTGGCCGGTCCCACATTGACTGCTCTTAATTACATCTGATTGGTATTGGAGATTGCAGAAAGCCTTATCAGAAATAAGAATGTGCTTGATTTCCACAATTTGTTTTAGCTGTGACAATAGGGTTTTCTTCTTCACTGATTTCATGTATATTTTATAGTGAAGTTTTGACAAGTATATACAGTGCATTCTGTTAATCTGCCATCTTTGAGGCAGCTGCTATAATTTCTTAGCCATGGATGGTTTTGATATTAGTTGAGCTATGTATTAAAGGGTAGTTAAAGTTAGAGATTTCTTTTACACTGGAATGTTTAAAAATGACACTTTTACCTTATGATTCTGTGATCATCTTTTTGGTTAGAGTAGATTACGTTGCATTTGCACATTTGCTTGTTTGCTGGAAAGATTTATGTTGTAGAGATATTGTGATGGTTAAGAAAGGATCTGGACGGGGCCGGCTGAGTGGCGGCATTGGTTAAGAGCTGGCTTGGGATGCCAGAGGACCCCGGTTTGGATCCCACATATGAGGGCCAGTGACACTGCCCTTTACAGCTAAGATGCTTAACGACAGCTCGACTTGGAGCTGGGCTGCCGTGAGGTGCTGGCGATGGCGTAGGCTGCAGCCCCTGCTGCAGTGGGTTGCCATGGGCTACCTAGCGTAGCCAGCAGCCAGCGTGAGCGGCCAGCAGCCGGTGACTGATCTGCCTCCCCCAGGAAGAGTGCAGTGATGGTGCCAGCTTGGGCCAGTGAAGCAACGTCCTCCACAACTAGACTGAAGAACAAAACGACAGCAACTTGTCTGTTCCTCTTCCCCCAATTCCCCAGCATTGTTCCCATCCCCCCCAATTCCCCAATAAAAATCTTTAAAAAAAGAAAGGATCTGGAAGAAATGGAAGTTGAACTTAGGTGGTAGGTTGTATTCTTAAAAGGAATGAGAATTAGGACTCTGACTTAATCACTTTTCTTTGAGTCTTATTTAACAAAGACTTTTTCTCCCATTGTGAAATATCTGTATAATTTGACCTTAGATTTCATATTATTAAAACATTTAAACCAAGTAGCAAATGCTTAGAAATTCAAAATAATGAGCAACTACCCCATCCCTTCGTCTACGCCTGCCAATTTGCAGGGGTTGTGGTGGGGCACAGGAGCCCATCCCTCATTGTCTTGGTTAGCCTGTTGGGGAAAAACATTGAATTGTTGAAAACCACTGGACCCAATGGCCTATAAGTTCTCATCCCAAATCTCAGACTAAGCAGGAAAGCCTATTAAGATTGGAATAATGAGAAAAATTATTTGTTTAAAATGTTTTAAACACAAGAATTTTAAAATATTAATGTTGAGTATTCAACTAAGAATACTAAAATAGTAAAAAAAAATATATTAATCTGCTAGGGCTCCCATAACAGAATACTGCAGACTTGAATGGCTTTAACAACAGAAATTTATTTTCTTACAGTTGGGAGGAAAAGGTCTGAGATCAAGGTTTCGGCAGTTTTGGTTTTGTCTGAGGCCTCTCAGCTTGCAGATGGCCGCCTTCTCCTTCTGGCCTCAGTGATTTCCCGAGTGAACCTCTGTTCTGTCTCTGTGTGTCCAAATTGCCTCTTATAGGGACACCAGGTTGGATTAGGTGTCATTTGAACTTAGTCACCTCTTTAAAGGCCCTGTCTCCAACTACTATCACATTTGAGGTCTTAAGGCTTCAACATATGAATTTTTTGGGGGGTGGGGGGATACAATTCAACCCATAACACATACAAATAACTAAGAAGGTAGTTCTTATTATCATTACCCTTGATTTTCAGCTAGTAATTATCAAGATTGCTAGGGAAAGCTCTCTGATAATGGTCTTACAAATTGTTCTAATTTAAAAAAGAATATTTTCTTCCTAAATCACTTATTTAAAAATTTAAAAATGTTTTGTAAAATAATACATGTATATTTTATAAAGTCAAATAGTGCTTAAGAGATGTGTTCATAAAACAATTCCCAAATTTCAACTCTTAACTGTTTCTTCTTGTATTTATCTCTATTTAAAAAAAAGGTCCACATTTCTTATTGATATATGCATGCATACAAGCTATCTCTTAATTCTTATTGGCAGACTTTTATTGTTGACTTCCTATTATGGTAGATCAGGATTTTAGTTCTGTTACACCTTTCCCTCTACACCCTCATTCTCCTAATAAAATGATATCATACTTGAAAAAATCCATATTTGGTGTTTTCATAATTGTGACTGTGTAAAAGCTATTTGCTAAACCAATACAATCACTATATTTTCTTTTTTCCTGTAGTTTTTAAATATATTTTTCAATTACAGTTGACATATAATATTAGTTTCAAGTGTACAACATAGTGTATAAAACTGTTACAAAGTGATCACCTTGATAAATCTAGTACCCATATGACACCATAGTATTACAATATTATCGACTATATTCCAGCTGTATTTTACATCCCCATGACTATTTTGCAACTACCAATTTGTACTACTTAATCCCTTTCCCTTTTTCACCCATCCTCCTAATCCTCTTCTCATCTGGCAACCATCTAGGTGGTCTCTGTATCTGTGAATTTGTTTCTGTTTTATTTTTTAGATTCCACATGTAAGTGAAATCATATGGTACTTGTCTTTCTCTGTCTGACTTATTTCACTTAGCATAATATCCTCTAGGTCCATCCATGTTGTTGCAAATGGCAAGATTTCATTCTTTTTTATGGCCTAGTAATATTCCATTGTATATATATGTACCACTTCTTTATCCTTTCATCTATTATTGACACTTACGTTGCTTCCATATCTTGGCTATTGTAAATGATGCTGCAATAAATATAAGGATGCATATGTCTTTCCCAATTAGTGTTTTGGGTTTCTTTGGATAAATACCCAGAGTAGAATTGCTGGGACCTTTTTTGTCTCTTGTCATAACCTTAGTTTTTTTTTTAAAGATTTTTATTGGGGAATTGGGGGATGGGAACAGCGCTGGGGAATTGGGGGAAGGGGAACAGACAAGTTGCTGTTGTTTTGTTCTTCAGTCTAGTTGTGGAGGACGTTGCTTCACTGGCCCAAGTTGGCACCATCATTGCGCTCTTCCCGGGCGAGTCAGATCAGGCGCCGGCTTCTGGACGGCCGCTCACTGCGGCTGCTGGCCGCTCACGCTGGCTGCTGGCTACACACGGTAGCCCATGGCAACCCACTGCCACAGGGGCTGCAGCCTATGCCGTCGCTGGCGACTCACGGCAGCCCAGCTCCAGGTTGAGCTGTTGTTCAGCATCTTAGCTGTAGAGGGCAGTGTCACTGGCCCTCATGTATGGGATCCGAACCGGGGCCCTCTGATGTCCCAAACCAGCTGTTAACCAACATGCCACTCGGCCAGCCCCGCCCATATGTCTTTTTGATTGGAGCATTTAATCCTTTACATTTAAAGTAATTGCTGATAGATATATAGTTATTGCCATTTCATTCATATTTTTTATTATTATTATTTTTTTCTTAAATAAGTCCCTTTAACATTTCTTATACTGACTGGTTCATTGGTGATGAACTTTAGCTTTTTCTTGCCCGGGATATGACCATATTTTCTTATAGAACTTTTAATTTTTCTGGGGTTCTTACCTCATTTTTTCATTTACTTAATTTTCTTTGAATCTAAGTCTAAATTTCCCACATCTTCAACTGCCTTTGTAAAATCTCTCTCAGTACAACAGTCCATACTTTGAAACCTGTAAAACTAATTATTCTCTTTTTCCCCCATGGAAATAACCTTCTGGGATCCTGTGTCACATTTCTGCCTGGATTTGGTGCCTTGTAGGCCTTCTGCATCTATTACCTAGGACTTGGCTTCACTACCGTGTTGGGGATTCTCTTAGTTGTTCTCCTGTATTGGATGCCGTCGTCTTGGTTTCCTTCCTGATTTTGATGGAATATATATTGTCCACTAGGTTCTTGAGAAACGGTGAATAGGAGCACAATTTTTGGAGACTTTGCTTCTATAAAAAATGTCCATATTCTATCAGAATTGAATAGCTTGGGCATAGCTTTCAAAATTGAAAGATAATCACTTAAATTTAATTTTTTCTTATTTTTAAAAAACAGAAACTGCATGCTCATGAACCATATTTTAAAAGGATCAAGGGGTTATGGACGGGGAAGTTCATTTATAGCATGAGGGAGTTTTTTGGGATGAGGGAACTGTTCTGTATCTGATTATAATGGCGGTTAACACCATTTTCTACATGTGTTAAAATCCCTGGACTGTACACCAAAAGAAAAAAGTTTAATTTGTATGTTTGATAGTTAAAAAAAATGAAAATTAAAGATAATTTGAAAGTACAAAAGGTACACAGCAAGAAGGAAGTCTCTCTTCTTTCTCCCTTAGCCTTCCAACTTTCCTTCCTGAATAAACCACTGTGACTAGCTTCTTACATGTTCTCCCACTTAATCACTCTTAGACATGTAAACATTCAGGGGTAAATCAGACAGAATTGAAAGGAACTTAAATTTGCTCTAGTATTTTCTGAGAATGCTGATTACTACTCTTAGAATACGTCTAAATATGTTATTCATCAAGCCTGGCTCTAATTTATTAAAATGATTTCTCCTGCAGTTGGCAAACATGAACTGACTGGACATAAAGTTGCTGTGAAGATACTCAATCGACAGAAGATTCGAAGCCTTGATGTGGTAGGGAAGATCCGCAGAGAAATTCAGAACCTCAAGCTTTTCAGGCACCCTCATATAATTAAACTGTAAGATCTGATTATATTTAGTCATATCATTTTTTCATCATTTTTGTTAACCTACTTAATCTGACAGGTGAGAAAGATAACTGGCATTTCCTTGGTCTGTTCCCTGAGGGTTTTGATTCTTCCTGTTACTGTATTTATCTAACCCCATTCATGGTCACTTAAGCCCCTGTTCCTGTTTTGCCCTTGTGCCTATCAGCAGTTATCTTTCTCATTCTTTCTTGTCTTCTGGATCAGTGCCCTTCTGATAGATAATGTTCAAACTCCTGTTGCTGCAGAACCAACAATGATTTGCTAGTGAAAGCTCTTGACCTCCAGATTTCCATATGGTATGTGTTAGCCTCACTAGACAGTGCCCCAGATGGGCTCTCCCCTGTGCTGCTTACATCTGATGAAACAAATAACAGAATATCAGGAATATGGTTTTTCAGAAAGGCAGTAACATTACTGTTGTTTTACAGTTGCCAATTGTAGGGTCTTCAGATGATTTGTTTACTGTTCAGCTTTATTCTATAGGCTATAAATGAAAACTGCTTAGGCTTTTGTACTGAACTGGCTGAGTTAAAATTTGTTTCACCTCTTCTCATTTGTTGAAGTCCCATGACCCCTAAATATACATCTTCTCTGAAACCTCTTCCCTGAACTCCAGACTCGTATGCCCACTGCCTACTTTACATCTCCATTTGGATGTCCATGAGGCATGTGAAACTCGACATGGCTGGAACTAAACTCTATTACCATCCTAAAGCTGCTCTTCCCACAGTGTTCACCATCTCAGTTACTCTCTGGTTCCTCAGGGCTGAAGCTTCGGAACCATCCTTAACGTCCCCGTTTTTCTCACTCCCTACCATCCATTCCATTTCTTCTTTCAGTGTATCTGGGATCTGACTGCATCTCCGCTCCTCACTGCCATCAGCCCAGCCTGAGCTCCCTTCATCTCATGGCCTGCTGGGAGCCGCCTGCTTCCCCTTGACCGTCTACACGCAGTTCTTCACATCACTGCCATACTTACCGTTTTAATAGGCCAGATCACACGATGACTTTGCTTAAAAGTTCATCTCCCTTAGAGTAAAAGCCAAAGAAAGCCTCATCATGGCTCGTAAGGTTGTGTCTGGTCTCCAGTTACTTCTTGGACTCCACATCCTGTTTCCATCTCCCAGCTCACTCTGCTCTAGCCTTCTTACCATTAATGGCTTGACCACGCCAGGCAAGCTTCCACCTGGGGGCCTTTGCACTTGCTGTGCCCTCTGCCTGGTTCACCTTCTTCCTTGATAACGGCACAGTTTGCTCCCTTCCATGAGGCTCTTCTCAAATATTACTGTATCAGAGAGGCCTTCCCTGCACACCCCGTATGAAAGAGTCCCTTGGTTTGCTGTTTCTCTTCATAGCATGTCCCGCCACCTGACATATTGCTTATTTATTTAATGTTTGTTTCCTGGCTCCTAGAACATGAACTCCAGGAGGGCAGAGTTTTTTTTCCCTGCAGTTTGCTCAGCTCCCAGCACAGTACCTAGAATATTATAGGTGCTTAGTAAATATTAATTGAATGAATGAATATACATGTTTTAATATTGGTAGATAATGTTTTCTCTCACCAGGTACCAGGTCATCAGTACACCATCTGATATTTTCATGGTGATGGAATATGTCTCAGGAGGAGAGCTATTTGATTATATCTGTAAAAATGGAAGGGTAAGCAGTTCTGATTTAATCCTGTATCTATTTCGTAACTCCCTTTATCCCTTACTAGCTTCAAGATGTCAGAAAGCAATTTTGTCAAGAGGTCTATTTAGTAACTAATTTCCTTAGTCATATATTTGTTTAGAATCTAGAGCTAGTAAGGACCTTAAAGATTATCTCCTTAGCCTACTTACACAGATGTGTTAACTGAAACTCAGAGTTTACATATTTGCTCAAGGTCACACGATTTATTAATGACAGAATTGGACTGAGACCCCAGAACTCATGATCCTCAGACTTAATGCTTTGGGGGCATATAAATTCTTTTAATATATATCTTAAAGTATATATTTAATCCTTACAAAATATATTATTTAATACTTAAAGATCTAGGCCTTGCTAGTCAAACCTAGCCACATTTAAATTGCATTTTGGTTTCAGAAATCTGATGTACCTGAAGTAGTAAGAACAGGCTCCATGAAGGAGGTAGGAATTAGACTTAAAGAATTTAGAGTTGGGGGCCGGCCGAGTGGCTCAGTTGGTTAAGAGCTCGCTCAAGAGTGCGAGCTCTTGAGCAACAGCGGTTCGAGTCCCGGCCCGAGCTGAGCTGCTGCTGAGCTGCCAACAGATTGCAGGATGGCTCAGCTAAAAAAAAAAAAAGAAAGAATTTAGAGTTGGAAGGAACTTCAGAAGACATTTTGAACAGTATCTTAAGTCACAGATACAAAAACTGAATGCCTTCTGCCCATACTTTTTCTCACATCCGGATTATATGGTATGCAAAAACCTCTTTCTGGAAGAGCCATATCTAACGCTGAGAATCGAATTTTTTCCCCTCTCAGTCTAAAGTTCTTTATTATATTCTTCATTCATTTGTGCCTATATAGCATATGTTTACTTCCATCAAAATCAAACTCACTAATCAAGTTAATTTTGATTTTGCCATTTCTTAACATGGTTCATTTAAATTTCAGGTATTCCCCTTCTCTATTCACTGTAACCGTTGCCCCCCCTCCATGTTCTGCCTGGAAAAATGTTAAATTGGTATCTTGTTTTCTTATCTTTTTGCTTCCCTTTTTCATTTCTTGGTCAGTTTCTTTACATTATGGGAATTTTCTTCAGTTTTTACTTGTTGCATATTAAAATTTCAGCTGTCATATTTTCTATTTCAAAGATCTTATTTTCTGAAATTTTCTTTAAATAGCCTATTTTTGCTTCACAGATGTAATAATCTTATATGTCTGAAGATGACCATTAATTAAAACAAATTTTTCTCTTCTTTTCTCCGCATTGTTTCTGTACGTTCTGTGCTCCGGGCACCCTGGTTTTTTTTTCCCCCTGTTCATTTTATTGGTCTTTGTCTTTTGTGTATTGGCCCTTCCTCAGATATTTGGTGATTACTGGTTGTCCACTCATTTGAGTGAGGTACTAAATGCCAAGCTCATGTGGGTGGAACTTATTGATTAGTGGGTCTCCCCATGGGTTGATTAGGTAGGGACCTGTCCACTTTATTAGGGCACACCAAATATCAATAATTACAAATATCTTTCCTTAGATCAGATAGCTGCTCCAGAAGAACCTTCCAGTTTCCTTGAGGTCATCATCTTAGCTGCCAGTATTCAGAAGCTGAATGGGGAAGAGAGCTGCAGGTGTCACTAGTTAACTCAATCCCCATGTTTTCCTCCTGATGCCTCATCCTTGCTTGGCGTCCTTGAGTACAGAGCTGGGTCAGCCTTACTAAAGAGTAAATCATAGGTCTTATTTCCCAGTAGGATTGAGTTTACAGTGTCTTACTTCAGCCCGTTGCCTTGTTTTCAGCCCTCCTCTCACCTCTACCTTCAGAAGTTCCTAATGCTTCCAGTTTCTGAGCCTTTCCAGGGTTCAGTGTGCAGACGAGTTTATTATTGGTTTCTATCCCTGTAGGCTTAGGTTACAGCTTCCTTTGGCTGGCGAAGTATTTATCACGGTTCATTCTCCAGCTTAGTGACTCCTCTCGATTCCTGCTGTCTCTTCTTTTGTTCTTTTTGTCCTTAAATGTTAATGTCATTTTAGTGTTAGTTCAAGGAGTGTAGACAAAAGGTTCCGTCGGCCATGTTTAACTGGAAATATGCTTGACTTTTCTAATCTTTGTTTGTAGATTTCTCCTTTTTCATCCTTTGTACTGTATTTATTATTAGGTATAATCTTCATTTTTGTAACCTATCTAGTTATTTTACCTCTTCTATTTTATTTAATCAATTAAATTGCTGACACATTAATATTTTCTTTAGAGGAAGGGTTATCTCATGATACTTTGATAGTTTTCAAAAAAATTACTTCATCTTTTCTCTTAGATTAGTCATGTTACTTAAGGTATAAGAGTCTAGTTTTAGAATGCTAATATGTGATCTGTGTTAGAGAATTGCATATTAGAGTCCATTGCCAGAGGATTAATACCTTATTTACTAAAAATGACTTTTTGGGAGCAGGAAATGTTCAATAATGGTTATCACTAATGGAAAGAACATAAGAAAATATGGATAAATGGAAAGAGAAGTTTTTAAAGAATATTTTAAAAGTAATTGCAGCATAAGAAATAATTTTTTCAGATAGCAGAGTAAAGCTAAATGCCTTTATATTTTATAAAATAAGTGAATTAAGGATTTTCTTTTGTTAAAATTAAAATGTCTTTTATTTCTGTACATATAATAAGATGGTTGCTTGCTAATTCATTAACAGTGCTTAAATGTTACTTCCCCATATAGTCTAAAATAGGATCCCCACCACAACATAACACTCTGTGCCCTTATCCTGCTTTATTTTTCTTCAAAGCACTATTACTCATTGATGTTATATTTGTTTATCCTCTGTTTTCATCAACTGGATTAGGTCCTTTGTCTTATTCATCGCTTCATCATAAGTGTCTAAAACAGTGCATGGCACATTGAAGGTGTTCAGTAAATATTTTTTAAAGGAGCGAAAGATTAAATGTTTTGAATTTGTAGGAGAAAACATGCCTAGTTTTGCCTCATTTCAAATACCAATTGAAATTATTTGAAATAGCTCATGAGATATAAAGGAAAGCAAGCTATTACAATGTAGTCATGAGAGGGATAACATTAGAAAGTTGAGTTACTGATTTGGGTTCCAAGATCCTTTTAGCATGTTTGTTTTGTGCAGCATATATCTCCTCTGCATTTCAAAAGTATCTCCTGAGTGAGGTTCATTTGGAAGGTTTCATGCATTTTGGCAGTTTTATAGATTGGAGAATTATGAGTAGGATAATTTCCTTTGAAAGACACTCTATTAAGATGCCTCTCTACTTTTCTTAGCTGGATGAAAAAGAAAGTCGGCGTCTGTTCCAACAAATCCTTTCTGGTGTGGATTATTGTCACAGGCACATGGTGGTTCACAGAGATTTGAAACCTGAAAATGTCCTGCTTGATGCACACATGAATGCAAAGATAGCTGATTTTGGTAAGGAGACTTTTATAGTTTCATATGTTCATTATGTTTAATGAACATCAGTAGCATTCTTCAGATAACTTTTACTTTCATGTACTAGAGCAGCGGTTCTCAACCTTCCTTAATGCAGTTCCTCATGTTGTGGTGACCCCCAGCCATAAAATTATTTTCGTTGCTACTCTATAACTGCAATTTTGCTACTGTTATGAATCGTAATGTAAATATATTTTTGTTTTCCGATGGTCTTAGGCGACCCCTGTGAAAGGGTGGTTCGACCCCGAAAGGGATCGCGGCCCACAGGTTGAGAACCGCTGTGCTAGAGTGTCCTAAAGTAGTATATCCTCACCGTTTTGTTCATGAGCATACAGAAAGGAAAAAAAGATAAGGACTTCTCTTTTTTTAGCTTTATATCTTTAAAATTGAGTTTTGTGACAGTAAGTGAACAATTTAAATTTGTGGCAGAAGAGATAGACATCATTTGAAAGAGCCTATTATGTATAAAGAAGAAGTTAGTGACCTTATTTCCAGTGTGTTCTTTTGATCAATTATGAAGCAAAAGGAAAAAGACAGGGTGGAGTTATTCAAACTTTGAAAGCCAGAAGGAAAACTAGAAGGACAAAATTATTTCAGAAAAAAAAGGTAAGGTATTTTAAATGATAGAAAAATAATTTCAGCTTGAGGGACATTATTTGAATTGTCAAAAATGAATTTACCTTCCCTTTATTTCCTATATAAATTGCCACTCACATTATTAAACCTAAGAGAAAAAGGAATCTCTGCAACATCTTTAGCTTAGCTTCAGTTCAGAGGAGACTGTTATTTTTTCCTCAGTTTTGAATATATTTATATATTTAAATCTATAGAAATTAACTGAACAGTGCCAAGCAGCCCTGAGCGGTTTTTTTGATTTGTTTCTTGGTGACTGACTGAATTATTTGACCTCCTTCTTCTTCTGTTGTCATAATTATTTTTATAGAGTGCATTTTTGAGAACGCAGAGGTGTCTTGGAATTCAACTAGGAGGGAACTTTGATTTTCAAAGTGATTATTATATATTTTTTAAAGAATCAGAACGGGTTAATAGAAACTTAATTCTTATCTGTTCTACATTTTTTTTGTTACAATTTCTGTATTAATAAAATTTAAACATGCCAAATGTATTCTAGTAACCAAGAGCTTAATATATACTCATTAAACTCCAAAAAACTGCACTAACTTTAAATATTGAAAGATTTCAAATTTTAGGGCATAATGGAAAAATATACAGGACAGTAAAGACTATAGGATTTTGTTGGAGCAAAGAATGAAATGATTTATCACTTTAATGCAAACTCAATTTTACTGTTTAATGGAGTTTTGTTTTTATTTTTGTCCTTGGGAAATCATGAGTAGCTGATTTTGTGCATTTTCAGGTCTTTCAAACATGATGTCAGATGGTGAATTTTTAAGAACAAGCTGTGGCTCACCCAACTATGCTGCACCAGAAGTAATTTCAGGAAGGTAATATTTGACCCCTGCCGCCCCCAATACATCTGTAATTGTCTTTTTCTTCTAGATTTTGTTAGACTATAGTGTATAGTGTTTAATTCTAGTGAAAGAAATTAAAGCTTATTCTTATCAAGAAAGTGTTCTATTTTAAAAATGAAACATAAGAGATTAAGGACTCCATTTAGAGAGGAGAATGTTGGTCTCCGAGTCAATATATTAGTTACAATAGATGAGAGTCCGTACAATTTTTTCCACTGGTAGAAGAAATTGAAAGTTGAAAACTAGTGAGTTTTAAAGATAGGTAAGACATTAAAAACTTGAATAATAATAATAATAATACAGAAACATCTAGTAGAAGTGGCTAACTGTCAACTTAGGTGAAGAATTAAAAGTGTAATGTGTAGCTTTAACTTTTCAAATAGATGGTATTTTGTAGTAGCTCAATGTTTTATGATAAGGTGTGCTGGAAAATTGGACCCAAGTATTAATAAAATCTTCAGACTATTTATTTTGCATTTTCATTTTTTAAATCTAGAGACTGCAATATTATAATTCTAACCTCTCAATTTACCAACCTTATGTTTGAGAACACGAAGATCTTTGTACTGTGCAGCTTTTTGAATAGTTTAGATGATAGGAAAATTTAATTTTTTAAGAGTAATTGTTCTTCACGAGAATGTTGAGTTTGTTTACTAGTTTTTATAATTAACTTTTACTCAAACCACATTTCTTTGAATGTTTCACATCCTTATATTAATTCAGAATGGAGAAATATTGTAGTACTTTCTATTTTCAGAAGCTTGCTTGCTTAGCCTACTCAGAGAAATTATATTTCTGTAAAGTCATGGCTGTGAATAAAGCAGAAATATCCTAATTTTAGATTTATCAAGCGTTATCATCTTTTTAAATGAACTTAATATTCAGAATTCTCTGTAAAATTATTTCATCTGTGTTGTCTAAATTCTTTGGGGAAGAAAACAATTCAAGATCTAGATACTAGGGACAGTGCTAAATAAATAAAAAGAAATGTATCATAATTATGCATATATGCAATGGGCCATGATTGAAGTCTAACTTTCCCAATTTGGAGAAAGCCTTTCTGTAAGGTGTGGATGAATGGAAACTTACTTTCAAAGTAGTATTGACTGATCATTTCAACAATTGATTTGACCAATTTAAAGAAATCTTCTCTGAAGCCAAACTTTGGATGGGTTATCTAACTAGTCTGCACTTAGTCTAGTGTATTCAAATAGGAGCTTAGACTCTCTGTGAACCTGTTACCTGTTAGTTTGGCTTCCTTCCCCAGCCTCAGGCCTCTTAGCTTGGTAGGAGGTCTTGGGTTATTTGGGAGAGTGGGTTTAGAGTCCAATAAAGAATATTCTCAGTTATGAAGGATCATTTAATCTTTCCTCTGTAACCAAACAATAATGGTTTTAAATTCAGAGATGATATGTTTGTTCAAGGTTTGGCCCTATTGGTTGGGTCTCATGGAGGACCACAGAAAGTTAGTAAGAATAGAATTTTACCTATAGTCCATAATTTTAAAAAATTCTTGACTTTTGTTTTCAAAGATAATACTGGTACAATCTTTATGTGTAGTACATACCAGCGATTACAGAAACTATATTCTGACAAATAATTACTTATGAAGTATCCATATTTAAAAGTTTTGATTAAATGATTGACTCGTCAGTTACTAATGATTATTTAATCCACGGGGTATTTCCTGTTACAGACTGTATGCAGGTCCAGAGGTAGATATATGGAGCAGTGGGGTTATTCTCTATGCTCTATTATGTGGAACCCTTCCATTTGATGATGATCATGTGCCAACTCTTTTTAAGAAGATATGTGATGGAATCTTTTATACCCCTCAGTATTTAAATCCTTCTGTGATTAGCCTTTTGAAACATATGCTGCAGGTGGATCCCATGAAGAGGGCCACAATCAAAGATATCAGGTAATAAAGCAACTTGGAGATTATCAGATATAATACTATCAATATCAAGTGTAAGAAAAAGTTGCAGGACAGAATGTATAATGTAATCCTGTTTTTATATTAAAAATAGTGTATAGACACAATTATTTAGGTATTTAAAAATACACATTATACTGGCTACTTTAGGGAAGTAAGATTGATAGGAAGGAGGGCTTTCACTTTTTACCTATCATCTTTATTTATAGTTTTGAAATTATAACAGTGAACATTATATTTCATTTTATTTTTTTAGCTGAGCCATCCTGCCACCTGTTGGCAGCTCAGCGGCAGCTCAGCTCGGGCCAGGAATTGAACCGCTAGTTGCTCAGAGCTCGCACTCTTGAGCGAGTTCTTAATCAACTGAGCCACTCGGCCGGCCCCTATATTACTTTTTAAATTAAAAAAAGCTAATGGAAAATAAGACTTTGGTGGGGTGTTAGATTTTTGTAGTGGTTCTTTAAGTTTTCTATAGTATGCTTTATATTTGACGTTTATGTATTCTCATAGTATTAATACTTTTTTAGTGGTAAATTTATGTGTTGCTATTTGACTTCTAATCTCATGAATTACTATTTTTTTTCCTTTTGTTCATTTCAAGAAATGAGAACATTTTAATGGAATCAGTGACTTGTTTGGTAGTAGTAGATATTAAATCACATATGAAATTGCTATTTTGTAGGTAAATTTGTCAGTATTGCCAGTTTCATATGGTTCAACCTAATAGTTTAAATAAGGAAAAGTGATCGGCCGGCCGAGTGGCTCAGTTGGTTAAGAGCTTGCTCAAGAGTTTGAGCTATGAGTAACAGCTGTTCGAGTCCCGGCCCGAGCTGAGCTGCTGCTGAGCTGCCAACAGGTGGCAGGATGGCTCAGCTAACAAAAATAAATAAATAAATAAATAAATAAATAAATAAGGAAAAGTGATGGTGAAAAATCTTGTCAAATTTGGGTGAGCCATTTCTGATGAAGACTTTTTAAAAAAATCACTGCAAACTATGTTTCTTCTACCATCATTGTTTCCTTCCCCCCCCCCCCCCCCCCCCGCCCCCACTTTGAAAATGTCTCTTTGGTCTTATAATGGCTAGATAGCACATCTCTGAGATGGAGGGACAAGGAAGAAAAAAATCAGGTGTAGGTCTTGGAATAGTAGACAAGACAGCATTGGCGTATTGAAGAAGAAAGATTATATGTAGAACCTAAGAGCTTGATCCCTTTCCATTTACTCCATATGCTGTTGACTAGCTGAAAAAGAGACTGAATGTCAGGGCATGATTTTACCATCTGATGAAAAGGACAAATCATTTTCTAAAATTTACATTTAAAAATATCTAAGTGAGAGGTGATTTTTCTTGTGTTTTACATATTTTTGCCAATTTACATGTAATAATCTAAAATATAGACATTTATTTTCCTGTTACTACAGCAATGCTTCCTCCCTCTTAAAATCAGAGGGAAGCTGCAGCATTTCTCCCAATATATGCAATGAAATGTGCGCCAGAAGAGGACAATTTCAGTTTATAAAAATAATAATACAGTATGAGTATAAATATAAATGAATTCATCTCCTAAATTCCCCGGTTACTTTCAGTCTCATCTTTACTCAGAATCCTTGTCCTGACCCTGCCATTCTCTCTCAGGGAACATGAATGGTTTAAACAGGATCTTCCCAAATATCTCTTTCCTGAGGATCCATCATATAGTTCGACCATGATTGATGATGAAGCCTTAAAAGAAGTATGTGAAAAATTTGAATGTTCAGAAGAGGAGGTTCTCAGCTGCCTTTATAACAGAAATCACCAGGACCCTTTGGCAGTTGCCTACCACCTCATAATAGATAACAGGAGAATAATGAATGAGGCCAAAGATTTTTACTTGGCAACAAGCCCACCTGATTCTTTTCTCGATGATCACCACTTGACTCGGCCCCATCCTGAAAGAGTACCATTCTTGGTTGCTGAAACACCAAGGGCACGCCATACCCTCGATGAATTAAATCCACAGAAATCTAAACACCAAGGTGTAAGGAAAGCAAAATGGCATTTGGGAATTAGAAGTCAAAGTCGACCAAATGATATCATGGCAGAAGTTTGTAGAGCAATTAAACAACTGGATTATGAATGGAAGGTAGGAAAGAAAGAACATTTTGATTATTAGCACATTTGGGGCAAACCTGTAGTCTATAAAGTGTTTTATAGAAGAATTGCTTTTGACTTTGTTTTTGTCCATTCCACATGCTAGGTTGTAAACCCGTATTATTTGCGTGTTCGAAGGAAGAATCCTGTGACAAGTACATACTCCAAAATGAGTCTACAGTTATACCAAGTGGATAGTAGAACGTACTTACTGGATTTCCGTAGTATTGATGGTATGTACATCACAAAACATCACAGATGACATGTTAGACCTTGTTACCTAATTTGGCCTTTTAGACTTTGAGTCTTTTGAGGTTCCTTGTATTGTTCCTAGTAACTCAGTAGCAAAAGAATGTAAAATGTGAGATTTTTGTGCTTTTGTGATGTCAACATTTGTGAATCTTGTTATCCTTTTAAGATTATCTTGTAGAATCCTTAAAGCCAGATGCAGTCTGATCCTAAAGTGATAGTTCCTGCCACATTTCTGTTTTTTGATGTGGTTCATTCTGGTAAGATAAAATGTTTTACTTAGAAATAAATGTTGACTTTTCTATACGCTTTTATTATTAAATAATTTTTGTCTGATATTTAATAAATTTTTATTTTCCATTTAAGGATTATAGTTATTAGCTTTTAGAGTTGAGTGATGAGGCACTGTTAATAGATTTGATTAGTAGCTTACAGTACAAGGAATTATTTGCTGAGTCAGGTTTCTTGCAGGGTACTGAGAGAAATGTTTTGCATGGGCTTGTGGTTATTTTTCTCCTCTGAGCCAGCCTTTTCCTCCCATACTGACACTAGAAACATCATCAGAGATATGCATTCATTATAATTTTTGTGAGAGTTACATGATTCTAATTTTATTTCCCTTTCAGTAAAGTAAATAATGTATTAAGCCTGTTGGAACACATTTGACTCATAATTCAAGTAAATACTCTTTCTCTACCTCATCATTATGAAAGGGTATAGCTATATATATAAACGTTCTCTCACAAATAAAGCCTTTAATTAGGTAAACGTTTATGGCAATTCTTCATTGGCCAAATCAATTAAGATACGTTGCCATTTTTGTTCATCTAAGGTTGTATGGAATTATTAGGTGAGATTCACCTATGAGTTTTTTGTTTTTATAAAGTCAAAGATAGTATCAAAAAGACATAGGTTTGAGCTGTGATATGCTGGTCAAACCTGTTTGCTTATCTTTATGTCCAAATGGTATTTATGTGCTAACACATACTAATGCATTCTGAGATCTGGAATGTTTTTTATTTTTCTCGTTTTATTTGGATCAAATTCTCAACCTTAGGTTTATTAGCATCAATCTGGGTTTACCATTGGAATGACTGACCACTTATTTCTGTATTGTGTTCCTACTAGTTTTTCCTTGATTTTTGTTCATTTCCTTGATTATGTTCATTATTGCTCTTTTATGAGATCTTAAATCAACTATGAAGAGAAAGTGGGAGAGTGAAAAGCACTGAGATGAGTTAGGAGACTTGGGTTCTAGATTTATGTTTCTGTTCATTTGTTACTTATGGCAAATCACTTAACTTTCGGGGATTTATGTTTTCTTATTGATAAAAACAAGAGTTGGATGAGATGATTTCCAAGATTTCTTCCAAATTTTAAGTTCATTTATTCTATAATTTTAATATAGAGGGATTAATTTTTATTGCTAGGGAATGATGTTTATTAAGACCCAAATTATTGGGCTCTTAATCTTGGAATGCAAAATTGATGAGTAGCTACATACTGTACCCAATCTCGACTAGCCATCAGAATACATGCTGTGTGTAAAAAAGGTGAGTGATTTATCAGAGATGCTTTGCCTCTATTTGAGATGGTATTCAAAACAGATGTGCTCTTGATAGCTGGTCAATGGTTACACTTAAAGAAGAAAATTAAATAGTAGTAAAAATTGGGGGGGGGGTGATGGATTATAATAAATTAAACTTTCTTTGTTTTTACCCAGATGAAATTACTGAAGCCAAATCAGGGACTGCTACACCACAGAGATCGGGGTCAGTTAGCAACTATCGGTCTTGCCAAAGGAATGATTCAGATGCTGAGGCTCAAGGAAAATCCACAGAAGCTTCTCTTACCTCATCTGTGACCTCACTCGACTCTTCTCCTGTTGACTTAACTCCAAGACCTGGAAGTCACACAATAGAATTTTTTGAAATGTGTGCGAATCTAATTAAAATTCTTGCACAGTAAACCTAAAACTTTGCTTATTTCTTTGAGAGCAATAAGCATGCATAATAAATCATAGCCAAATGCTTCCATTTATAATCAAGTTATACATAATTATAACGGAGGATTGGCCTTTTGGAATGCATTTTGCACAGGGATTGGAACATGATTAATAGTTAAAAGCCTAATGTGCAAAAATGAATTAAGATAATTTTGTTGTTCATTGTTTAGTTGGCATATAGCATAATATAACACACACAATGAATATAGGTCTCAGGCTCACTTGATTTTTGGCTATTTTATATTTTAGTATACACAGGGCTTTGTAGAATATTAATTTACCATAAAGGCCTTCATATATTATTACATGTTGATGTGTTATTCATTTGTTTCATAAATTTATGCAATAAATATTTGCCTAGAATCCCCAGAGAACTTCATAGGTGATTTTGTTTTCTGGGCTCCTTAACTTCTTAAATAGCAAGTACAGTAATACCTTGGTTTGCGAGCATAATTCATTATGGAAACAAACTACTTATATTGCAAGATATCGCTCGTTTACCACGTTAAAATGTACTTGGTTTGCAAGGATAATTCGTTCCGGAAACAAACTACTCATATTGTAAGACATTGCTTGTTTGCCATGTAAAAATGTATTAGAAATGTTTGCTCATCTTGCGGAACACTCGCAAACCAAGTTACTCAATCCAAGGTTTTACTATATCTTCCAACAGCAGGGGCAGCCTGGATGACTCTTCCATGTCCCCTTCTTCGTATTCTATAGCATAAGTCACATCAAAGATATTAGACACATGAAAATGTTTTCTTTAGCTTGGTCAAGTCCCAAAACACACACAACTAATATATTCAGATACTCTAGGCACTACGTTTAATTTTAATTTGTCCCATTTTATTCTGTACATAAATTGCTCTTTTTGTCACAAGAGCTGAGTTGCATATATTGTAAATAAATCATGTTGTTTTTGCCAATCTCACAAATTCCTCTGCTTATCACGTCAGTCAGTATTGAATGTATGCAAACATTTCTTGTCATTTGATTATGTATATTTTAAATTGATTCAGTGCACAAAAAGAACATCTCACAAACTGTTTAGATGTTCAGATACACTTTTTCTCCCAAATTTTATTATAAACATTTTTAAAAACAGGAAATTTGAAAGGCTGTAGGGTGTATACATATGTATCTACCACTTGGATCCAATACTTATTAACATTTTGCAATATTTGCTTTGTATCTATCTATCTATCTATAGATAGATAGATAGATATAGTTATATATGTGTATATCTGCTGTTCCCCTGAATCATGTTGTAGACATACTTATGGCCCCTCAACTCTTCAGACATGTGCTAAAAATAATGACATTTCCCTTAAAAAACATAATTCTATTATAAAATTAATTCCCTAATGTCATCTAATCATGCATATTTAGATTTTCCCAGTTTCCTCCAAATTTCTTTTATAGCTGGTTATTTAAAACCAGATCCAATTAGAAGTTTGGTTATGTCTTCTTAGTCAGGTATGCCATTATTATTTTGAACAAATTGGTTAGTTCTTCTAAATGGTCACAATCGTTTTGGATTTCAATTACTTTTTAAAAAGTAGCATTATGGGAACTTCCTAAAGATGCTTAAATCTTCCTAAGATACCTAATTTATATTTTCTTGCTTTTAGTAATAGCACTACATAATAGGTGTAAATGAAGATTTAAAGTCACCTCAGATAAAACTGGTATGTGTATGCTAATAAAATAAGTATTACCTATATTTGCCTTATACTATTTTAAGTTCAAGAAACTGATTTTTTGGTATTAATCATTTTTCCATTGCAATAGAGCTATTTTTTTCTCTTTTAAGACTTAAATTTAGGGTTGTTTTTGGCAAACACAGTGAGCACCTGTGTAATTAGACAATGTACTCAAATGGCATAGCTTGCATAGTTACTGTAGTTGTAGATTTGGCTCCAGCACTGAATTCAAAAGAAAAATCTTGGCTTCTTTTTGTCCAGGGCTTGTTCTATTCAATTAAGATTCTCAAAGCTGTATAAAATAATAGGAGTTCCATTTAAATATAAGTTCACAACTGTATTTATAACTTGTATGTGGCCCTCTGTTTTGAAGATACTGATTTTACATAGGCTCTCTAAGTGCACCGTTATTGCTGATGTTAAGAACAGAAGACTGTATTTTTAAAGTTACAAATTTGTATATAGAACTAAGACATTGTTATAATGTCTCTATAAGCTGTTGAGGGAGGTGGGGAATAAAAAGAGGAACCAATTAAATAGGACCTTCTAAAAATTGTTAATTTTGTAAACTTTGCTTCTTTTTAAGTTATTGTGAGTCCTTTTAGTTAGTTTTATTTTGACGATATTTAAATATTGCACTTGTACAAATAGTATGATAAATGCACAGACTATTGCAGTAAATTCTTTTTTAAGCTGGGATATTTGAAATGACAACTTTGGGTTGAGTATGTCAAGGTTGCATCAGAATTTTCAAAATTTTATTGTAGTCTGCAAATTCTTCCTAATGGAAGATGTAAGCGAGTCAATGCAAATGATTTTTAATCTTTTTTTATTATCTTTTCAGCAATTTATATTTTTTGTGATTTTATGCAACCATATTTTTACTTTGTCTTGACAACTGAAAGACGTATAAGGTTTTTGCCAGAAATGTACTGTATACATAATTTTAAATATAACAGATTTTACTGATATGTAAAAATTTTGCCATTAAAATAAATGATTTCTCACTGAGAGGAACTTTTCTACCAGGTTGGGGGATATGGGAGCTTAATATATCATATCTAATTTAAAATAATTTCACTGAAATAAACTCCATTGCTTTTACTTTGATTATATTTTCTCTTGAGATGCTTTTGTAGTTTTTTCAGAGTTCTAAATGATTTTATACAAAAAGTCCTGCCCTCTCATAACCCTTCCCCCACCTTTTTTCACCTTGTAGTGATACCATTTGCACTGAATTAATCCTTGGTGCGACATGACTAGATGTAGAATTCTATGCACCTATGCTCTGACTGGCACATTTGGAATGAAAGAAACGTGTGTTGTTTAAAACTTTCCCCCTTAACTCCTTCCATCTCCCCCACCCACAATAGAAATCTCATTTTTATTTTGAGTTCTGACCAGATGAATGAAATTCCACATACATCATAACTGTAAATTGGTAGTAGGGTAGAATTCAATCTTTGTGGTACAATATTCTGAGACGTGTTCATGTTTGTTTTGAACAGTATATTTAAGTATAAATTTAAAAAATTTCAATTTAGAAAACGGATAATAAAAACATTTTTCATATTACAATGTGCTTAACTTTTTTAACCTCTGGGGAAACTAAATGCAAAACACAGCACTTGTTTATTGCTGACCATCTGTGCACCTTCCTTTTTAAACTACATGCTGAATATAAAATAGAGTGCTTGAACAAATTTTAGTACTCAAATGTGATTTTTATCTCAACTAGTTTTGATTTCATGTAAAAATCAACCATCTGAACAAAACATTAAGATATATATGATAAAAGCCTAAGCAGCTACCATTTATCACTAGTTGCTAACATTGGATTTGGTTAGAATTCCATTAGTGTTAGAATTTAGTTAGTATTAAATCTTGTATCCAATGTGGTATTGTTAGGCAGGGCCTGTACTAGATTGTTGGCATTCTAAAATTTTAAAATAGCTTGATGAGGGCCTGCCGAGTGGCGCGTTGGTTAAGAGCTGGCTTGGGACGCCAGAGGGCCCCGGTTCGGATCCCACATATGAGGGCCAGTGACACTGCCCTCTACAGCTAAGAGGCTGAACAACAGCTCAACCTGGAGCTGGGCTGCCATGAGTTGCCGGGCGACGGCGTAGGCTGAAGCCCCTGCTGCAGTGGGTTGCCATAGGCTACCGTGTGTCACCAGCAGCCACAGTGAGCGGCCAGCAGCCACTGTGAGTGGCTGTCCAGAAGCCGGCGACTGATCTGCCTCGCCCAGGGAAGAGTGCAATGATGGTGCCAACTTGGGCCAGTGAAGCAACGTCCTCCACAACTAGACTGAAGAACAAAATGACAGCAATTTGTCTGTTCCCCTTCCCCCAATTCCCCAGCGCTGTTCCCCTCTCCCAATTCCCCAATAAAAATCTTTTAAAAAATTAAAAAAATAAAATAGCTTGATGATTTTTGCAGCAGTACTAAAGACCATTATGAACAACACATAAGGTTCTTTTGGGGAACTTATAAATTGCTCCAGGTATTTACCCTGACAAGAAATTCTCTTGTTTGAAAATCAATATTGAACTGTTCCATTTATTGTGGAAGCCAATAAATGTTAACCATGATAAATTTAGAGGATTTCTGGCAATTAGGAAGATGATCATGTGGTCTATAAACAGATAACATAGTAAATATATTAAATATATCAATAGGTGCATTAAGAACGTAGACCAAAGTAAATAGGGAAGTGACGGGTGGAGGTAGCCTTTACCAGAATAAAGTGGATCAAGGTTATTTGAGAGATTCAGGAAAGACCCTTAGAAAGGGGTACAGCTTCAAGCACCATTACTCTACAAACTAGACCGTCTCAGATGGCTACTATGAACCAAGCAGTACAAATGTGACTAAGGCATAAATCCTGCACTGAGTGTCTTGTTAGGGATGTGTGTGTGTGTGTGTACACATTTAAAGACCTGTATAGAGGTATTTACAGAAAAGGGCATAAATCATACATTTGGCTCAAATATTCAGTTATAGGTTTGTAGTGAACATGGCCATGTAAACCTCTACCCAGCTTAAACACTGCCACCGCCTTAGTGTCTTTTATAATTAATATTAGACGTGATATATTATCACTTCTGCCCTATTATATAAGCAGCACAGAAAAACCCTGGTACAATGTGAGGAGGAACTACACGAGAGAGAATGCCAGGAGTAGGATCATGGGAGACCATCCTGGATACTGGCTACCACAATCATGCACTGATCCTTTTGAAAATACTGGTTCACTTATGCAGGTCTTAACAAATGTTGATGCATATAATCCGATGATGTAAATAAGACTTACATCTGATGTCACCACTGAGCTCAGCAAAGTATGGAAGTATTGGGAAGTATCAAGATCATTAAGGCAAATACGTTTTCCAAAATTATAATTTTTGCCTTAATGCTTGAATTTTATCACTGGTAACACTATCAGTTGTTTTCTTGAAGTAACAGGCTCCCTTTGTTCGTTTTTAAGAAAAGGCCTGTCAAATACCCAAGCCTGAATAACCAGCTAGTCTGTGAGTCGTTCGTTCTAAGTGAAAGTTGTATTCATGAAGAGAGTACCTATTTCAGTTTATAATGCAATCTCACAAGTGCTTTTACCTGGGACATCATACTTCAGTATACAGCAGAAGTACTTTATGAGTACTTCCCCCATTTTGTCATGCAGAATATTAAAAAGAAGGGTCATTGTAATAAAATAATTTTTAGTGCTTCATCGAGGACATTCTTGAGTGACTGAATTTTTTTCATACTGTGAATGGTGGCAAACAATACTATGACTATTAGTATAGTTTATTGCTTTGATTCGTGCTGAGATGCCAGCTGTTTTTCCCACTATTGTTTTCCACTATCAGTGCAAATGTCAACATTGTGAAGGACGCAAATTATGCCTTCATATTAGTATGAAAATAGTTCTGACTTTGAAAGGGTCTCAGCAACCCTCAGGGGTCTGAGGGCCATCTTTGGGGAATCGTTGGTTCACATCTTGGTTCTCAATGGGGCGGGGGTGGCAGAATGATTTTTCATCAGGGACATTTGACAATGTCTGTAGACGTTTCTGGTGGCCACAACTGGTAGTGGTAGTGGATGCTAACGGCATCTAGTGAGTATAGAGACCACCAGGGGTGCTGCTAAACATCCTCCAACAAAGAATTATGCAGTTGGAAATGTTATAGAGGTGAAGCAGAGAAAGCCGAGTCTACAAAAATGGCCTTCCTTTGCACAAGATAGCTACAATGATCAATTAATTATTCAATTTCCTAAAGACTTCCCAGTGTCACTACTTTCCCCCACTTATTTGCTTTCCAGACTTGAACCACAGCTTTTTTTAGGCCATAATTTTCTGAGTCCAACTTATTTTTTTTTTCCCCACGGGAAGCCCACAGCTCAGCCATGGCCCTCCCCAATCTGCCCCCCTTAACACTTTTTCAATGAGTTTTGCCTCTGTCCTCTGCATGTAGCCGGCCTTATCAGCTAGGGTATAAACTCCTTTAGGGCAAGGTCACATCTTAATGCTTTAAGTTCCCCCCCACCTCCCCCAAATTGTTTCCCCCGCGCCTCGCCAGCTTTACCTGCCTACTGGGTGGGTGACACACTGTAGCTCGGCCTGCGTCTCTCTGAGCGCACTTTAGTCTGCGCAACCGCAGTTTTCCGCGCTCCCTCACTGGGAGTGCTCGCGCAGTCGACCCTCTTGTCTGCTGCTAGTGGGCGCTCCAGGCCCGGACGGTCCGGACTACAAGTCCCAGAGGGTAATGTGGTGGAGGCGGCCGCAGTGACTTCTGGGATTTGTGGTCCAGGGGAAGGGATTGGCCGATGAGAAACGCTCTGAGAGTCGCCTCTTCCCTGCTCTTTTCTCTGGACGGTTCAGACGCTCCGGTTGGTTAACCCTGGTCGTCGGCGACCAGATACCAAAGGTAGACAGGTCGGAGGTCGAGCATGATGATTTCCGCTTCCGGTGGGCAAAGGGCAAGAGGAATGTAAACACGGGGCCCGGAGAGAGGTTATCAGGTAACTGGGGCTACCCATTCCGTGGTGAAAACGGGAAGAGGAACAGGAAAAGGAGGCGAGAGGGTCTTGTGGTTAAGGGGAACAGGAGCTTCACAAGTTGGAGGTGAGACTCTACGGGGCTGTGGCAAAGCCGGGACACTAAGGTTCGTTTCTGGAGACGAGCACGGCTGGGCTTCGGGCCCTCCCTGGCAGCGGCGCCCTGGGCGGCTTTTGCGCTTTCTAGGCGGTCTGTGCGGCTTTGACCTTCCCTTTGCAATGAGAGGAGCGGAACCGAGCTAGCTTTCCATTCGGCGTTCACGGTGTCTGCGGCTGAGGGCGGGGCTAGTGCACTCGCGGGTGACGTTAGGGCAGCTTTTACGAACTTCGCACAGTTTTATTGTAGCCGAAAACGAAGGGAAGTCTCCAATACACTCTCCTGCGGTGACATTTTCGGGTAAACGGTTTCTTGAATTCCTCATCTCCCAATATATCCCTGTACCCAGAAGGATTCTGTTTTGATTTCCTGATCGTGTTCATCCAGCGGTTTCTCGCCTTGGGTGCTGCGTCCTCCGACGCTGCGAATCCGAGCATCCTCTGGCTTGTGGTCAGTGGCAAGCCGTCAACCCTCATTGAGCGCCGATTGTAGAGATCTCGTACCTGCAAAGGAATTTAGAATACAACGTCGTTGTTTAGAATTTTCATGGCATCAGTTAACTATAATTCTGTATAAAATGAATTTGTGGCGTTGTATGAGTTTCACATGCAATCCATATGATTATGATTTACCCATATGATTTTTTTTTATCCTAGTGAAAAATGTAAAGGTTAGGAAATTGGCGCCTTGTGCATCTAACTACAGATTCAAGAAGACTTGCTTTATAAGAAGTTTTAATTTAAAGTTCAACTAGCCTTAGAGGAACAATAAACTCGTAGTATTTAAGGTACCTGAGTCAACTCGGAGTGTTAAATTTTCCGAGGCAGAAAGTGTGTTGCATGTATTACTGGACTCTCTCCTTTAAAGCCTGGCTAATTTTTTATTCTTCAAAATTGATAGCCTCCACTGAACCGCAAGAGTTTCTCCTCTGACATTATAGCATCCTTTGTTTACTCTCTCATAGCACTTATCCTGTATTGTAATTGACTATACTCTTGTGGTCTTTAGACAATTTTGAAAATTAGTAAAACTGCACTAATGGCCTTGGTAACAGATTCATGCTTTTTAACTTCAGTGGGCCCCTGATACTGTTTGGCATCTTTACTCGTCCCTTGTTGCTTTCCCTCTTCTGCACGTGACCATTTCAGATCTTTTCTATTTTTCTCATGTCTGAGAGCCATTTCTTTTCCCTCGACTTGGAGCAGATGACTAGCCTCCTATTCGTGAGAAATGTGAAGCTCGGGGGTACAAAATCCATCATTTTCTTTTCCCCGTACCTCTGAACTTGCCTATACTTTTTATTCAATAATTAGCTCTTGTCTGAGAGGAATGTATTCTTGTCCCCCTCTTCAAGGCTAAGCTTATCAATTGCTAGTGGTCATCAGGACTTCTATACTCCTATCACCTCATTTTGTCTTAACCTTCACAGCCTCTGATCTCTAGAAGATCTTAAAGGATTTCTGGAGGAGTATGGCAGAAACAGCTGAGGCATCAGGGTGTGTAGCTTTTTTGTATGTGGTTGAGAGCTACTATCTGGGCCCATGACCTATACCCGTCTTCTGCATTTATAACAATGGTTTGGGTTGGAAAATGGGGGGTAGTAATGGGTGTCTTAATGACCTATTTTTAAAAATACACGTGGGTCTATTTGCCCTTTCCTTTCCGCTCCACCTTAACACCTGCTCCCAATCTACAGATCTGACCAATGAGTTATAATGTAATTTGCTTTTAGTAAACACACCATGTATCTGTCTGTATTAATACGCTTCCCATCCATTAATAGGGTGACTGACTTTGCCGATTTAGAAACAAAGTTCCATTTGGAAACTTGAAACCAGAAAACTTAATCATCCTCATTCTTGTCTCCTTTAGGGACAGTCATAAATACAAGACTTTTTGTCTTATCTTGAATTATCCTGGTATCTTATAAGACTTCCCAATGACCCACTGCCTCACGTTGTCCTTACTCTGCACCCCCTTCCGTAGTAACCACATTTCCATTTTCAGCCATTTCTTGGTTCTTCCCCTAAGTTACTTGTGGTGTAGTCACACATAGGAATCTCATTCTTTTACAATATATTATAATGGGTCTGGGAGAGAGTTTGGCATTGTCCCAATTCCTTAGTATAGTTTTTGATCCATTCATCCTCTAAGCTTTTCTAAAAATCCCTGCTCCTATGGAAAGCATATGGCTCACCCATATCAGCCTATACATTTCTTGATTACTGTAATTTAGTGGCACTCGCTCATATTCACTAAGAACTTAGGCACATGACCCACAATTTTCTTATCCTTCCAAGCTCTGTCATTTTCTTGGGCCTCTCCATGTGAATGGCCTCACAGCTACCCTCACCTTTTTTATCCCCTTCCTTCTAGTGATTACTTATACTTTACTTCAGCCATGTGCATCAGTGATGAAGACCTTGATATCTGCTAGAACTTACTATTTCATTTGTCTCTCTCCCTTATTCTCGCATTGCCCATTCTTGCCCATTCTTTGATAGTTTCATAAAGACTTCTGGTTCATTGCATTTCCTATCCCTCAAGTTAGTCAGTCAGTTGATCATAATCTTGGGGTCACAGACTCCTTTAAGAGTGGAATGAAAGCTTTGACACTCTTTTCTAGAATGCATATAGGATGCATATAAAAATTTATATGCAATTCCAGGGGTTTTTCAGTCATTTTAAGCCCATTCATGTAACTGGTAAGAGTTCTTGGATCCCTCTAAATTCTTACTCTAAATAAATATTTGTTGACTTCTTCCAGGGTTTCCTTTAACTTTATTCTATCAAGTATCTTCACTTTCTTATCCCTTACAGTTGCATGTCATTGCAGATTTACGAAGCAATTTAACATTTGTTATCTTTTTTTTTTTTAAATTGGGGAATTGGGGGAGGGGAACAGTGTTGGGGAATCGGGGAAGGGGAACAGCCAAGTTGCTGTCCTTTTTTTCAGTCTAGTTGTGGAGGACGTCGCTTCACTGGCCCATGTTGATATTATCATTGCACTCTTCCCGGGTGAGGCAGTCACTCGCCGGTATTGGACAGCCGCTGATAGCAGCTCACACCGGCTACCGGCCACTCATGGCAGCCCAGCTCCAGGATGAGCTGTTGTTCACCATCTTAGCTGTAGAGGGCGCAGCGTCACTGGCTCATGTGGGAATCAAACCGGTGGCCCTGTTGCTCAAAGCTCACGCTCCCAAGCCACGTCTTAACCAACTGAGCCACTTGGCTGGCCCCAACATTTGTTATCTTTTTGATTCACCCAATATTGTGAATTAAGTCATTTGCCAAGTTTGAATCTTTTAAAAACTTTTTATTATGGATAATTTCAAAGATATATGAAAAGAGTGAAATGTATAAAGAATCTAACTTCATCAACTATCAACTCATAGCAGCCTTTTCATCTATATTTCTCCTCTACTGTACCCCCACTCCCACTGATTACAATGAAATAATTTCCTAGATATCATATAATTTTGTGTGCAATATTTTAGTGTGTGTTCCTAAAAGATAAGAATTATTTTAATAAACATAATCACAGTACTATTATACGCAAAAAAATTATCAGTAATTCCTTAATATTATTAAATATCAAATCAGTCTTCTGATTTCCCGCATTGTTTCATAAATGTTCCCTCTCCGTTGGCTTGTTTGAATCCAGAGCTAAACAGGATCCACACATTTTTATTGAGTTAGCGTCTCTCAAATTTCTCTCAGTCTAGGGGTTACCTCCTGTCTTTCTCTTTTCCTGAAGAAACCAGCTTTATTTTTCTTTCTGTTTTTTGCTGTCTGTATCTGTGTTGTGTTAGTATGCTTATCTGGATCCCATATTTCTGACAAGCTGGTAGAGGCTTGATCTTATTTAGGGTTGATTTTAGGCAAGAGTATTTCATGGGTGGTATGCCGCTTCCATCAGGAGATGCAACAATGTCCAGTTGTCTTTCTTGATGATGGTAACAGCCTTTGATAATTATTGCCTAGGTTTCACTGTTTAATTAGGAGTTAAAAAATGGTAGTAGTTTGATTCCTGCTATTCCTGCTTCACCTAGGTGGAATACTTGTATAAAGGGCCAAGTTTGAAAGTTAAAGCTGTTTCTTTGTCATTTTCCAGAATGGCTTCCTTTGGATGGAAGAGGAAAATTGGTGAGAAGGTCTCAAAGCTCACTTCCCAGCAGTTTGAAGCTGAAGCTGCTGATGAAAAGGATGTAACTGAGAATGATGAAGGGAACTGGCTTCATGCCGTTAAACGTAGGAAAGAAATTCTCCTTGAAGACTGTGCTGAGAAAAGTAAACAACTGAAGGATGAAGGAGCCAATTTGGCTGAAAATAAAAGGTATGTTTTTAGAGTTTTTTTTTGTTTTTGTTATTTATTAGTTTCAGGTGTACAACATAATGTCTCTGCTTTGTCATCCTTTTTGTTCTTTGTAGAGTGGAACAAATGCTAAACAAAATGTAATCAACTTAATGGTTGGTAGGAGATGGTTTAATTTCTGGAAACTTTCTCCATGTGATATTATGTACCAGATAAATTAGTTACCTGAACAGCTTTGATGGCATATATATATATACTATATATACCCAGGGTGCAAAAATACGAATGTCTGAAAATTAAGTTTGCGAACTTGCCACTGTGCCCTTACATTGGCAGCACTGTACAGACAGCTGGGTAAGGTTTCATAACCTTGGTACAAGGTCTGACAATTAAGTTTGTGAGCTTGTAGCAACGATGTTGCTAACCTTTTTGATACCAGAGGGATTATTCATGATGAATTTGTACCAACTGGACAAACAGTTAACCAAGTTTACTATTTGGAGGTGTTAAAAAGCCTGTGTGAAAAAGTTAGACGAAAACAACCTGAACTTTTCGCCAACAATTCATGGCTCTTGCATCATGACAATGCACCAGCTCACACGGCACTGTCTGTGAGGGAGTTTTGAGCCAGTAAACAAATAACTGTATTGGAACACCCTCCCTACTCACCTGATCTGGCCCTCAGTGGCTTCTTTCTTTACCCGAAGATAAAGGAAATGTTGAAAGGAAGACATTTTAATGACATTTGGGACATCTAGGGTAATATGATAACAGCTCTGATGGCCTTTCCAGAAAATGAGCTCCAAAATAGCTTTGAAGGGTGGACTAGGTGCTGACGTCAGTGCATAGCTTCTCAAGCGAAGTACTTCGAAGGTGACTGTAGTGATATTCAGTAATGAGGTATGTAGCGGTTTTTCTAGGATGAGTTCGCCAACTTAATTGTCATACCTCGTAGTATGTATTTTAAATAGGTGTTCAGTTACTTTTTTCTATTGATTGTTATATACTTTAGTAAATATAGTTTGGTGCACAGGAATTTGATAATAGCTTCATTTATTCTTAGCCCTTCCTCAGCTAAGCTCTTATACTTACATGCACCCTTTCTTCTTTTTTACTTTGCTCTTTTTTTCGATTTTTCTTATTTCTTTTCCCTCTTGCTCTGCTTAGCTGTTTCAGTGTGACCAAAAATTATTCTTCTACAAATCAGTGTGAAAAGGACAAATTGTTTAGTAGGTTGTGTAGAGAAAGCTGGAATTCTGTATGGAGGAAAATAAAATGATCTGTATCTAATACTGTATACAAAAATGGTCTCTAGAACGATCAAAAATCTCAATGTGGCCGCGGTGAGCGGCCGTCCAGAAGCCGGCGACTGATGTGCCTCGCCTGGGAAGAGCACAATGACGGTGCCAACTTGGGCCAGTGAAGCAACATCCTCCACAACTAGACTGAAGAACAAAACGACAGCAACTTGTCTGTTCCCCTTCCCCCAATTCCCCAATAAAAATCTTTAAAAAAAAAAAATCTCAATGTGAAAGGTAAAACTACATAGTTAATAAAAGAAAAATAGAAGGATATCTTTATAACCTAGAGGTGGAGGACATTTTTATTTTTAAAGATTTCAAATCTATATTCAAGTTGAAAGAATAGTTGAGTTTCCCCTATCCCCTCTATGTAGACCCAAAAATTCATTTTTTTAAGATTTTGTTGGGAAACTGGGGGGAGGGGAACAGTGTTGAGGAATTGGGGAAGGGGAGCAGCCAAGTTTTTGTCCTTCCATCTTAGTTGTGGAGGGCACAGCAAGGTCAGCTCCAAGTCCAGTGGCGACACTCAGCTGAAGGTGCTGTGTTCAATTAGTCGTGGGTGGGCGTAGCAGCCACTATCCCATGCGGGAGTGGAACCGGCAGCCTTGATGTTAAGAGCGCGTGCTCTATCCCCTGAGCCACCCAGGTGGCAGCTCAGCTCTAGATGCTGAGGTCAGCCTTTTAGTTGTGGGCAGGCATAGCCCACTATCTCGAACAGGCAACCTTGTTAGCCTCTCACCAGTTGAGCCATCCTGCCAACTGTTGGCAGCTCAGCTCGGGTGCAGCTCACCGGCTCATGTGGGAATTGAACTGGCGACGCTGTTGTTCAGAGCTCGCAAGCTTGTAACCAACTGAGCCACTCAGTCGGCCTGATCCAAAAATTCTTAAAAATTGCTTTATTTATCTCTTCCTACACACACGTACACATATAATTGTATATTTATAATTTTTTTGCCAATCTGTTTGAAAGTAAGTTGCAGGCATTATGACATTTGGCCCCTAATTTAGCATGCTTCTCCTAAGAATAAGGATATTTTCTTACCAAACACAATAATTACCAAATCTATGAAAACTGACAATTCTGTAATCTAGTATCAAATCCACATTTAGATTTTCCCAATTTTCACCTAAATGTCTTTTGTAAAAACACCTACAACAAAGATCCAAAGTCCACACATTGCATTTGATTATTTTTCTTTAGTGTCTACTTGGGCCCACTACTTTTATCTCCCATGACATGGGTTTTTGAAGAGTTCAGACTCATTTTCTATTTGTTTCTTTAACTTGTTCCTCTATCTCAGGGGTCGGCAAACTTTTGAGACAGAAGAGCCAATCCTGTCCCTCACAACAATTTAAAAATTATTCGAGAGCCATAAAACAAATTATATCACCATTATATGAATAATATCGTTTAGAAATTTTATAAATGAAACTATGATAGTTTTATTTTCATTTTCAATTTTACTTCAGAGCCACATGTAAGTACCCAAAGAGCCGCATGTGGCTTGCGAGCTGCAGTTTGCCGACCCCTGCTCTATCTCATGTATTTCTTGTAAACTGAGTCAAGTGTTGAGATAGGATTTAAATTCTTATTAAACATTTTGGGTAAGAGTACTTTATGAGTTAATGTTTGTGCGCTATGTTGCATCATATTGGGAGATAAATGACATCAGGTTGTATGTAATTAGTGCAGCCATTGGAAAAGACATCGTGTATATGTCAGCCTGTTTGCGAATATAATATTTGCTGAAAAACATATCTTTATAAAAATCTTAGAAACATTTATCTTTGGTGAAGGAAATATACTAGGAAAATTACACTTGACAACATGAGGACTGTTGGTTTATTTGCACTAAATATATGATTTTTAGAAGACATTTGTATGGTCAGCAGGAATGGTATCTAAATAGGTTATTGGTTAGGAAAGAATACTCTTCATATCATCCAGAGATCGAAAATTAGGCCTCTTTGCTTTTGACTGGTATCTTCCATGTGACATTGAAGAGTGAGAAATTAAAAAGAAGTAGTGCTGAAAAAGTACAGTGTCTTTTTTTTTTCTTAATTGGTAAGCGTGGTTTGAAGATTTCTTGTTAATCATTTTTGTCATAAATGAGCCAAAGTTGAAAAACCACATTTTCGTTTCTAGGTCTGTGTTTATTTTGATTTTGGGTATAATCTATTTTTAATATATTTTAATAGAAAACATAAAATGATGCTTAAGCTATAATACATTAGCACCCCAAACTGGGAATGAAGGGTAGAAAATAAATAACATCAAGGACAATTAACAGTTTAACAGCCTAATGTTAGATTGTGAATTCTCATTGTGGTATTTTAGGCACAAAGATTTTTCCCTTGTAGAACTTTGTGAGATTGACAATTTTTCTTAGAAGAAAAACCAACTGTAAAATTTCCACATTTATGAAATCACTTTCATAACATCTTCAGAAGTTCCTGTAAATGCCTGTTAAAAGTTCATTAACTTTGTTGTTTTTGCTTTTTCTCTAGACCACAGTAGTGTGTGGAAGGGAAAGGATATTCAGTGATTGTCAAAGGATTCCCTCTGAATTTCCTGTGGTAGAGGACAGACATAATTTTGTAGATAAAATAACTTATTTTTTTGCCTGCATGTCAAAACATTGAGTCGTTTCACTAAAATCAGCTGGATTAGATGCTTTATTTTGAATGGAGAACATAGTGAGATGTTTTTTTTGTTTTTGCTTGTTAGCATTTGTTTTAGAGTAGTGTATAGCTTTAGAAAATAACTGAACCCAATTAAAGAAATCTAGTGGAAATGGGTAGTTTGACAACTTGACGCCAAAAAAAAAAAATTGAAATAATAGTTTAAAATATCTAAGAAAATATTAAACTTGATTGCAAATAATAGGAGAAGTAGAAAATAACATAAGGAGAAATAGTGGAGTTAAATAAATTTAAAACAAAGAAACTCAATCCCCGCCTTCCTAATCAACTTCATCTTAAATCACTCTCATTTTCACATTTTAGCCGCACTGGCCTCCCTTGTGTTTTTTAATACAGTTCTTATACAACTTTATCTTATGACTTACTGTATGAAAAGCTTTCATCTCTTGCTTTCTGATGTCTGTCTTCAGCTCTCTTCTCACATGTCATATTCTCAGCAAGCCACTCTTGACTGCCCAGTCTGAAGTAGCATCCGTACTCCCTCTGTCTTCATCACATCAGCCTTTTAAATGTTCTTCCTTTTTGAAGTGACCTTATACAATTATTTAATTTTTGTGTTTACATATTGTCTGTCTTCTGTAGAAATGTAAGCTTCAGGACAGTAGAAATTTTATTTGACCTTTGTACTGTATCTTCAACTCTTAGGATAATTTATGGCACCTACTAGGTTCTCAGTACATATTTATTGAATATAAAGCTGCTGTTTTTCTCTATATTATGGTTAAATAGGATTTTTGTGGATTAATTACCATTTATTGCATTGTATCTATGGGAATATTATATTTTTAAACTCCAAATTAGAGTACAGTATTCTGAGAATATATTTTATATTATATCCCAACCACAAAGGGCCTTTGGGAATAGAATTTTTCTACCCTGCTTCTGAATAAGAATATGGCACTTGAGAATAATCGTTTTTTTCTAGGTTCCATTCCTTTCCTCATAACCCATCCTTCCCCTTATCTTCCAAGGTATTTTGTGTGCAAAAGGCTTTTATTTGTACAACAGGAAAATAAC